AAAAATATATCGAATAAACTATTTTCTAAAAAAAAAAAATAGTTCGAAACTCAATTTAAAAAATTTTCTAATCCTACTCTCACTAAAAGTACGCCTCGAAAATAAAATTATTTATAAAAAATACACAAGTAATACATGAAATAAAACTATTTTTCAAAATCTACAACTTACTGCAGTCATTCCCGTTGTAAGCAAACGGCCTTAAGCTGTTTTCCTTGCCATAAAATATGCTACATAATCAGCGGCCATTAATTTCAACACTTTATTATTTTTACATATGAATCAGGTTTTTTTTGTGTAAGCACTGCAACTGAAAGCAAATATTATTTGCTAATAAATTTTCCAAACACCACAATTTAATAAACCACTGTGTCTGTATTAGTTAAACTTTCGACCGCAACGCCGAAATGTATGCAATATATATATATATATATATATAGTTAATAATATGTTAGAGTTGTGGCTTAAAACAGTAGAAACACAAATTACTAGAGCTCTAATTCAGCCGGAAGTGCATTTAAATTATTCGCTTAAACTAACTTTAGTTTCACTTCATTGGAACGCTTTGGCCAAATTTATTTTCTAAATTAATAATATCTTCAAAAATAAATTATCTTAGTTGGGAAATTTGTTATTTCAATTCCGGAAACGTGCATACTTTATATTATATAAATTTAATTTTCAAAACATACTACAACGCCAAAATGTATGCAGCAGAAAATTTTAAATCCACTCAATCACTAGGAAGCAGTGAAAAAAAAACAACAAAATAAACTTAACTTGCCCACTTGTTGTTGGAAAGCAAGCAAATCATGTTTCTGTTGGGATTAGCAGAGTTAAGACTGGCTTTACAAAAAATCACATGACCAGCGAAATGTCACGATCAAACACCTGGAAAGTGTGCAGCCCACGGTGGGAAGCAGGAGAAAGTTGAAAGTGCAAAGTGGGTAGAAAAATTTAATGTTGCGAGCTCATTTTGTGGCAAAATAAAGCTGAAACTCACTTTAAACGCCTGAAAGTATGCAACGAAAATTTGTGTTAAATAAAATTTGCTAAAAATAAAATAAGTTTAATTTAATTAATTTGAATTTAACTATACCAAAATAAAAGGTAAAGCAAAATTAAATTTATTTAAAATTAATAAAAAATTAATAATTATTTGAAATTGAAAAAATATATAATGAAATAAAATGCAGTTAAATAAGAATTAATTTATTTAATTAATGCAAAATAAAAAGGTATAAAATGAACTAAAGGTAAATTAAATTTCTTTATTTCTAAACATAATGTCTTTACTTTATAACCTTTAAATAATGATAACTGAAACTCCTAGTCCTGTACTCCTGCTGCAATATGTTTTTAGGCGCAACCTACTTTGTTCAAAATTTGAGTCTTAATTATAAAAATTCATATGTCGCAGTAGCCGTGAAATATGAGCGCATTTATTTTTAGAGAGTTTGCTTATATTTTATGGTACAAATATCAAAATAGACTTGAGGATATTACTTTAGTTCCTTTTGTAGTGCTTTACATAATATAAATAAATTAATTTCTATTTTTTAATTTGAATATTTTTTAATTAAATTTGGTTTACCTTTGTTTTATTTAATTTCCCTTTATTTTACTTTACGCATTTTTAAAAGTACTGTATTTAAAAAATATATATGTATGTAAAATATTATAGGAAATTTTCTTTATTGAAACTTAAAATACAGTTTTTTCAAACAGTCTGTATTTATTTTTTACTTTTTTTTTTAGGAATTTTAATCCATTAATTAAACCTTTAACTCTCAATTTTTTGTAAAACAACATTTTGTTGTTATAGCAAACATTTTGAAGCTTTTTAATAATTTAAATATATTTTGGAAATCATACATTGATAATTTTAAAAATTTGCTCTATTTAAGTTAAATTTTTAAGCTCAGATGCGGCTCTAGTTGACGGAATCGCACTCCAACCTCCTACATATCCACATTTATGCATTATATGCATTGAAAATGAAAAGAATATTAAATAAATGCATTTAATGAATGAAATGAACGGCATTGTGGCTGCTGTGTACATACTCGTACATACAAAACAATAAATATCAACTGCCCTTACAACGCGCTCAAACTACCTCAGACCCCCACTTTTTAGCCTTTGCTTTGGCTTTTACTCACCGTCAGCACTCGCTTCTGACATTCAATTTAATTATGCCCCTTTTTGTCAACTGTGTTTGTCTGCACCGCAAGCTGCTGGCCATTAGATAAAGGTTCACTGCGCTAGAAGCGAGGGTGACGATGGCGTATGAGCAACATTATTCCTCCTTATTCATATGTTCATATGTATGTATTGTATGTATGTGTACTTGCTTCTACACATATTTCAAAAGCTGAGCTTAACTTGTGGCAAGCTTTATTTTCCTATTTTCTTTTTTTTTTTGCTTTATCGCTAACACACTGACCAATATTCTGCATTATGTAGGAGTTGTTGTTGTGTTCTGCTGATGTTATGCCTTGTTAAGTTTATTACAGTCAATTGTATGCGCGTTTTTTTTTTTTGTTTTGCTTTGTTTTTTGTTTTGTTTTTTTTTCGTTTCGCTTGTCTCTGTAGAGAAATTGTGTTTACGACTCCAGTGCATAGCAGCTAAGTGACGACCGCAATGTGGATGAAGGATTTAACATTGACTTCCGGGATAGTGTAATGGTCGGTAATTAAAATCGCTGCGTCGCTACAGTGCTTGAATAAGTGAAATATGTCTTTAATTTTTAAATCATTTTTATCATATTTGTATTTTAATGTAATTTTTTTTTTTTTCATTTTTAATCTTTTGAAAAATTTTGTTCTATTCAAATTTATTTTATTTTATGTCATTTTAATTCCCTTCGCTTTATTTAATTTTTTATTATTATTTTTTTATTTAAATTTATTTCTTCCTAATTATGTATTATTGTATGCACTTTGCAAGAAAGATATTTTTTTCTTTATTGAATTATATAAGTTAATTTGCTACTAGTCTTTCCAGGGAAACAAATATCTTTCTCTCACTTCGTTCTCTTTTGCTTGACATTTATTGACCTGCACTCACATGGCCTATACCGTAGCAAGATTGCCTTCCAGCAATAATACAATTAAATGCGATTCAATTGTTATAAATGTAATTGTACGCTGCTCATTAATTTCCACTCCCCACCTTTCTCTACTTCTCCTTATCCTCTCTGTTGGCTGCTAAAGAGAATATGTTGCCTTTTAATATTGCAGCAATCACATTCTCCCATTTTCCCCCGTCTGACGTTGCTAATTAGGCACGTGTAAGTTCTATTTCATTTTATTTTTTTCCTTTTATAACATTTTTTTTATTTTTTTCATCAATTCTTTTTTTATTTTATTTCTTTGTGATATTTTATCTTATTTTTCGCTTTTGCTATTGTTTAGCTTTAAGAGCTGAGTGCTCAATTAATGAGTGTCGCTTGGTGTTGTCGGGGATTAAGTAAGCTCTCCTATGTAGCATACCTCTTGGCGCATTGGCTCAAGAAGCAATATTATCAGTCTGAAAAACTATTCATATTCGTTAATAATTGCATACTTTTTGGCAGCATATTTCTCAATTTCATATTAATTAATACAGCAACTAAGCCAAACTCCTTCGAGTACGTTTTCCTGTTCTTTCAATGCTAATTTACCTGTGAAAGCTTCTTCACGCGCACTCGTTATTAAGATAACAATTTACTTACCAACTACTGTTGCATATTTTTCGTTGCTACGCATACATAACTTCTCCACTTTGCAACACAGTAATGTCAACTAATTAGATTTTGTTAATGTGACTCTCGGCAGTTTATGGGTTCGTTTGTGTGTCATGCGAATGAATTTTCTAATTAAATTTTAGTTTATTGTCCGCATCATACAAAGCATTTATAGCATTTGTTGCATAGTTTTTGGCTTAACAAGCTGGAAATGTAGCCAACTATTTGTTGCTCTTGGCATGTTTGCAACTAATTCGGAGAATAATTTCTTTAGTGCTTAGAATTTGAATTTTACTATTAACTAATTGAAAGTGTGTGAGAAATCTGCTTGCATACAGCGAGGTGTTGTAGATTAGTAGTATTAATATGTCATTCATAGGAGCTGAAAATGGTTTAAATTCTGCTCAAGATTTAGGAAAATAATCACAAACTTCCCAAGAAGAGTTCAAGACATTTCCTCGAATATTCTCCGCTATGAACCATTCCAACGAAATTTTTGCTCCCAAAGTTTTCTAAGTGTGTTAGAAATCGTTAACAGCTTAAAACAAGAGACTTACTAAACTTCTCAACTAACCTTAAGTTTTTATAAACCTCTTTAAGTTGCATATTGCACACATTTTTCATAAAAAAAAAAATTATATTACGGGACCCGCTGTAGTAAGTAATTTTCATTAACACCAAATAAATGACTTAGAACAAACTTCCTCGACATGGCGACACAAATTGACAGCAAAAACCATTTCCGCTCAAGCAAAATGTAAGCGATAGCTTGGCATTAGTCGCCCACAACGCAGTGCCGAGCCGACATACGCACGCCTGTAACAATATCCGGCATTTGTCGCTTGGCCTGCCGCCGACAGGCAAACAAAAAATATTTCCAACAAAAGGCACACAATCACATATCAACTTTTATATTGAAAAAATTACAAACAAAAAAACTCTGTTCTTTATCAATAGCCTTTTGCTTCTACCAATACAAAAACGCAGCGGCCTCAAGATAAAGCCATAAAGCTGAAGGCAGCAAATTTTCAGTTGATTTAAAACGCTTTCACACCTCAGTGGTGGACAATTGTTGCCGCACATATGGCGGATAGCAACAAACTCACACATTTTTCTTACAAATATACACTCGAGCGCGTTGTTGTAAGATATTCTGTACCTCAGCGCCTAGAAGCATGCAATGAAAGCGCTTTGGATTTGGGTTAAAAGCAACTGATATTTTATGGTTTATCAAATTTATCGTTTTCTTTACCTTTCCCCTTTTTTTTACAGAAAAACAACACCTGAAGAGTATTATCCGCACTTAGATATAAATACGTTGAGCTCACACCTCAATCAGCGCACGGTTGGTACTATTAAAGTGATCTCCAATTTATCACCACAAAGCTCGAGGATAAGTTTAACCATCAAATGCCAATTATGTGGCATTAGACGGGGTCAATTGCGACGCACATAAACATTAGATTACAACAACAACTGCAAAGGCAACAAAATGGCCTTCCTCTTTGAACCCTTTCAATCTGATACTCAATATCTACGTGAATTCCTATCGCATCTCTATCTCAATTGCATCATAAGATATCAGAATGAGACGGCAGCGGCGCTGAATGAGACGGACGATGATGGTGAGCCAGACTGTAGTAGTAGATACTTCTAAATTTCAAAAAAATTAATAGCACAAAATGAAAAATTCAAATAAAATAGAAATAAATGAAATTAAATAAAACTACAAGAAATAAAACAAACCAAAATTAAATAAAAAAATTTATAAAATAAGCTGAAATAAAATAAAATAATATTTCATTTAAAACTCCTTTTTATGTTGCACATATTAACTCTCCCCCCACCCTCCTAGCCAACTACATTGGTGCACCGCGCTACCTCGAAGAGGCCGTACTCAATGAGGGCAGCATCGACTTGTCGAATGTGGACGAAGCGAAGGCGGAACAAAATGAGCTCTTCGCCTACATTTCCAAGCACAGTTTAAAGCCAACAGCAACAAGTGGTGTTACAAAAACCGATCACAACAACAATACATTATTGAGCTACTTGAATGCGCGCAGCATAAATGACACGCATATCAGCAGCTACAACTACAGCAACAACATAATTATAACTTCAACACCTGCATTAGATACCCTCAGCTTAAATGGCAATGGCACACTGCCCTCCTACCCCTCACCCTCTCCAAAGTTTTCATCTTCATCCTCTTACACTTCTGCTTCTCCCACCGCTAGCTCCTCCACCTTACCCAGCTCCACTAGCTCTCAGCTACGCTTTTGTCCCTTGCGTTTCGACGGCTACCTCTGTTGGCCGCGCACACCCGCCGGCACTGTGTTGAGTCAATATTGTCCGGACTTTGTGGAGGGGTTCAATCGTAAATTCCTGGCGCATAAAACGTGAGTGCTTTTCAATATATTTGTGTATATGTGCATGTATGTGTATGAGTATGTGTATTGGCATGTGTATAAAGGAGAATTGAGCGTCGAAAATCAACAGTTGCTACTTTTACTTGAGTGCACTTGGCACTTTGTGAGAGAGAGAGAGAGAGAGAGAGGTATAGAGAGGTGAAGAGACGGGGAGTAAATATTTGATTTTGCTAAAGCTTTTGAAATTGCATTTCCTCGGACATCACTTGAAAATAGTTTCTTTTTGCAATTTTTCCCAGAAAAAAATACACTAAAATAAGTAACTATTAACTTACCGTTAAGTACTGTACGAAATTTATTGATCGATTTTCATAAACATAATTAAATATTTCAAAAAAATTTAGCACTGTGTTGTATGCGTTTGATGTTTTCCAACAAATGGAGGGACCTACAGTTTCATCCAAGCCGCCTCTGAACTGCCGATGGATTTTAATGAGGAGCTTTAGAGCTTGACATTCTCCGTCGAAGGCCGACCGAAAATATGACAACTAATTTGCTATAATTTTGGATGTTGTTCGAACAGGGACTCGAACCCTGGCATTCTGAATGGAACCCCGCAATGCCAACCACTCGGCTATTGTGGCCGCCATCATTTAGTGGAAGTCGAAGCAACAGTAAAAAAGATGTATCGATAAAAATGTAAAAAGTACAAATGAACGATAGAAATCATACTCAGATAATATATATTTTAAAATCAAAGCAAAGATTCTTTTAGTTTAAAGATTTGATGAATTATTAGTTTTAAAATGTCGTATTGAATCGATAAATCACTTCGCTTAGAGAGCAGAAAAACTAATTGCTTTTAAAATGCACCTCCATATAAATTCTCCTTTGGTATTTAACTTTCAGTACTCGTTTATTTCAATTACTTCTCATAATCGATAAACCTTTGTCTTCACTAATTTGTTGTAGTTGCTTGGAGAACGGCACCTGGTATCATCATCCAGTAAGCGGTCGCGAATGGTCCAATTACACCAATTGCATTGACTATGATGACCTGCAGGTGAGAGCGTGAGCGTTAGGAAAAATAAAAGAAAATTAAAAAAAAAAGTTTAAAAATCTGTCAAGTGTAATTAACGAATAATAATTTAATAAATAATAATTAAATTAAATTGTTTTCTTCATCAATATTTCATTTTTTCTATTTTCCTTCCCTTCTCAATTTACACAAAAAGTTCCGCAGTTTCGTCAATGAGCTGTACGTGAAAGGATATATCGTTTCACTGGTCTCTTTAGTGCTCTCGCTCATCATATTCCTTGGCTTTAAGTAAGTACAATATGTAGATGCCATTAAATATGTATTCAAATGGTGGCTTCCATCATCTCACTCAGCCGTCATTCATAAAATTCTAATTTATTTAAGTTCTCCTCTCTCATATTCTATGGCTATTTACTCTTTGCCCTCCAGATCGCTCCGCTGTACAAGGATACGCATACACGTGCATTTATTTGCCTCGCTGGCGTTCACTTGCATCGCCTGGATACTCTGGTATAAATTGGTGGTCGAGCAACCGGATATAATTGGCAATAACCCGGTGAGTGGAAGGGAGGATATTATTGATGAATTTAGGATATTTTTAAAATTATGTTGGCAAATGAAATTATCTTATTCATATTTATTTTTGCCACATTTTTTCATTTGAGGGAAAAAGCGCTCATAAATACGCTCTTTACAGCCCTGGTGCATAATACTCCACTTGATTGTACATTATTTCATGTTGGTGAACTATTTTTGGATGTTTTGCGAGGGATTGCATTTGCATTTGGTGTTGGTGGTGGTAAGTATCCAATTTACATATATAATTGTCTACTAATTATGGCAAAGTTTGGGACGATTTTTTGTAATTAACTGTAACGTGAAGAGAATTTAAGTATACGAGTACATCATCTCTTTTTATCGATTAGTCGATAAAGGAAACGCAAGAAAAAAATTAGTATATAAAAATTATCGATCTCTGCAGGGACATGGCTGTCGATATACACATCTATTGCAACTTATAACACCATTAGATTCTGAGCTTTCTTTAAAAATATTATATTTTAAAACAAACTAGTTCTTCGTCAGAAAAGTTTATTTATATTTAAGATTTACCGATAACATACTCAGGTAGTTATCGATAATTTATGTTTAATATACTATTATCGATAACCAGTAACAGAAAAAGTATCTAAAAAATAAACATTATTGTTAAGTTTAAATTATCTTTGTCTTCCTCAAAGGACCGATAACAATCGCTGGAGCTCTTACAGGAAACATTCTATAGTAATGAAAGTATATCGTTGAAAAAACTTTTTAGAAAATTATATAAATAGTATCCTTTTTTTCGGAAACCAAAAAAAATATTATACTATTTTTATAGAAACAGTTTTGAATTTAACTAAAGCGTTGAATTCTAATTACGCACATTTACGTATATATTTAGGAAAGTCTCAGACACATATTAATATACAGATTTTAAAATCTACGCTATTTGAACATTTCATTATAGCAATTCTAATCATTTTTATCATGTTATCGATAACAAAAATTATCGATTTTTTACAGAAAAATAAATTAGTTTCCGCTAAAATCTGGCTTTCCTGTTATTATGCTTCAAAAATTTCGATTGTCTTCGATAACAAAACCTACTTTTCGATTATTATCGATAACAAAAAATATCGATTAGTTTTACAAAAATTTTTGCGCAATGACCGGATATAATTTCGAAAAGAGTATTAATACAGTTAATGACTTCATAGTGTCAGGTCTTTCACTATTCTGCATACATAAAAAACATATATAAATGTACAAGCATATGCATGTGTGTATGTGTATGTAAGATAAAAGATTGTTTATAAATACAATAAAAAATCCAAAAGTTTTTTTTTTTGGTTTTTTGTAAACATGATACGTACATACGTACATACACACACTCGCACACAAAGAGTCATGTTATATCCCAGAACGTGAGCTATTTCATGCTACAACACACACACACACACGCTCGCACACAAAACAAAAAAGAAAAAAGAGCACAGAAAGTGGAAAAGTTTGATTAGCGTTGAGTGCCGACGCAGGAGAAAGTTGCGACAAAGTGAATAAAAAATGCGGCGAAAAATGTGAAAAATTAAAATTTGCAGTGAGATAAACATGAAAATAAAATACAAAATGAAAATAATAAGAGGGAAAAGTAGAAAACACTAAAATAGAGAAATTAAAAAGCATACAAAAAAGTTGAGTTTTGTTGGGCTTTCCAGTTTTTATTTTTAAATTTAGTCAACACTTGAGCTAATTATGGCGATGAAAGCTGTGGAAATGGAAGACGAAAACTCGCAAATGGGGAAGAAAATATTTATAAATAAAAAATGCAAGGGAAAACTTTACATTCGATTAAAGTGGGATATAATTTCAACTACCATATGCATATTTTCCCCTTTGCCTAAATATCAGGGGTATAAGCTCAGCAAGGACTTTAAATGTCAGTTTTATTTTTTTTTTAATTATATTTCACACTGTTTTTCTTTCCCCTCTGCTCCTGTAGGTTTTCGTCAAAGACACCATAGTAATGCGTTGGTTCAAACTCTTTGCCTGGATGTCGCCAATACTCGTGCTGTTGGCTTATGGTGCTGCCAGATTTTTCCATTCCGATGATAATATGCAGTGAGTTATTATACACACACACATATATATATATATATATACGAGTACTATAAATATTTATTATATTTTTCTACAACAATTTATCGATAGCACAATCAATCGATTAATATTGATCACTGTGGTTATCAAAAACTGCATGTTGAAAGACGTTAAAGTTGAAATTTCGTTCACACGTTATCGATAACAAAAACTATCGAAAGTTGTTTGCTTAATTAGAGAATATCTTAAATATTTTCTTAAGCTTTCTTAGCTTTTCAGTATTCAAAAACAAACTAATTCAAAAGTTTTCAATTATCGATAACACAATCTACATATGCTAATTATCGTTTATTCAGTACGATATATTTATCGAGTTTAAACATTTTTATAAAAGTTTCTAATTTAATTTTTATGTTGAAAAATTAATTTCCGCTCCTCCTTTCTATTTCTCTTCTCCCCTAGCTGCTGGATGGATGACAGTCTATTGCTTTGGATCCTATCAGTGCCCATTTGTGCATCGCTGTTGGCTAGTTTTGGTAAATATTTTACTTTATGTTCACCTTTTCTTCTCTTACCGATTTGATCAAGTAAAAAATGAGTTTTCCTATTTTCCTATTTTCCACAGTTTTTCTCATCAACGTTTTGCGTGTCATTGTCCGTAAATTGCATCCACAGTCAGCGCAACCGGCACCGTTGGCCATCAGGAAGGCAGTAAGAGCGACTATAATACTGGTAAGTGGGAAGGACAAGGGTAAAGAGACTCTAAAAGGAAAATGATAATTAGAAAATCAATCAAAAACCAAAACAAAGCAAATGAAAGCTTTTTCCTTTTGTGGGCAGAACGTTTTCTGATGGTTTGTTCTTCCAAAATATACAAATTTCCATACAACTACGTGTTTCTTATATAAATGTGAGCTTCTGTAAATGAGCTTGGTTAAGTAAGCTTTTACCTTTTCGAAGCTTTCCCAATAAAGATTACATTTAAAATCACACTAAGTTTAATATTTTGTAAATCTCTATATTTTCAGATCCCTCTATTTGGCTTACAGCACTCCCTGCTCCCCTACCGACCAGACACTGGCACACCACTTGAGCGTTTCTATCAAATCCTCTCAGTAATCTTGGTGAGCCTACAAGGATTTGTCGTTTCATTTCTCTTTTGCTTCGCAAATCATGACGTCACCTTCGCTATTCGCACACTCTTGAATCGTTTAATGCCAGGACTGGTTTCACCACCGCCACCGGGTACACACACAGGACAATTGGCGACAACAACACCGAGTCGAGAGTTGGGTGTATAAGGGAGAGAGACAATAGAAATTGTGAAAAAGAGAGAGGCAGGGAATTTCAAAAAAAATCCTATAATACAAAAGAAAAGTGGAGTTGCTTGAAAGGAAGAAAAAAAAGTTTCTAAAAAAAAGAGCTTTTAGAGAAAACTCTACTCTTGAAAAGAACAAAACTATACAGAAGATGATTCATATTCAGAAAAAAAAAAAACAAAACGAAAACTATTTATATAAAACTAAGTACATAAAATACTCCTATTTACATTAGAGAAATTCCTGCAGGATATATGGTCAGAACATTTACATATATTGTATTTAATAAAATTATAACTTATAACTGTATCATATACACTTATGTATGTAATATGAATTACTAAAATGTAACTAAATAAAAATTATGGTATGGAAAATAAAAAAGTGTGTATTTCAAAATACTAATTTTTATATTTCGGAAGTCACCAAACTTGGAAGGGCGAAAATCTAAAGACTTCTTATTCTCTTTTACTTTATTATGACTAAAATTTTATTTATTGTTTTATAATTATATTCAATTTTACTTTTTAATTTTATTCTATTTTATTTTAAGCAATTTTATTTTAATTAAGATTATTCCATTGTAATATATTTGTTTCATTACACTCTGTTTATTTTGCTGAATTCTATTTGATTTATTGATATTTTATTTTATTTGTTATTTTATTTTCTCGTTTTATTTGTTTTAATTTAATTTAATTTTTATGTATTTTAATTCTTTGTTGTTTTCCTTTATTTCACATGTCTTCACCCAAATTTAGGGCTTTAACTTCACAAGAGTTGTCCAGCTTTTAAGTGGTTTCCGCCTTGGCTTGATGCACTTCGCAACAGTTTGACGTGCGCTGAATTATAACAATTATTGCTACTAGTCAATAGGCTTCCGTGATTCCTGCTACTTGCAGTTGGAGTGCCACTGTAGTTTTATTTCATTTCTACGTATTATCGATTGTAGTGATTAAAAGTAACGTGAGAATTAAACTTTGCTTCAAAGAACATTAATCGTGCACACTTTTAGATTTAGAAAGCGACTTAAAGCGCGCATTTTCGAGCAGCCTAAAATATTTACCTTTGCTCTGGCATTTATGTATATGTAGAAGTATGCGTACCCACTTCATCCCCTTCTTCAAATGTAAACACATCTTAGTTTTTATTTTGAAGTTATTTTTATTGTTTTTTTTTTGCGTGTGTTGTTGTTGCACTTTTTGTTGTTGTTGTTTTATTTATGAAAGAGCAAAAGATTGTAGAACAAAACTAATACATAAAATACAAATACAATAATATAATTATACATTCATATAATTCATTAATTATATATATATATATATGTATGTATATATATATAGTAAAATTGTTAATAATTTATATGTAAACATATACACATACATATATTGTGAAATATATGCATATATATATATATATATACTATCATCCTTACTTTGTTGTGTTGTTGTGTTTTTTCGGCATTTTTGCGTCTTCTCGTTTCTTCTGCCTCTGCTTCTACGTTTTGTATATAGTTAAGTAATTGAGTGTATATATGTATGTGTTTTGTATATTTCTTTTCTTTTTGTATGTAGTATGTGTGGGTGTGTGTACGATTTTCATTTGTTTATTTATGCGATTTTATATGTTTTTCACAACTTTGGTTTGTTTAGTTTAAGTGATCGTAGGCTAGTAACTGGTCACTAACAGCGCGTGTGCCAACGAGAGAGAGAGAGAGAGAGAGGAAGAATGAAGGATAGAAAATCGAATAAAATTGAAAAAATCATTAGTGAATACCTCTGTCGAATGCTTCTCGTATTGTTTATCTTAAAAGCTCTTGGCAATCCTTATTCTCCTCACTCTCTTTCTCTTTCTCTCCCCTCTCTCTCTCTCTTTTTCTCCAAGACCTTCTCTCCAACGCTATCTAGTTTTCTAACCGCTTCTTGTTGTAATTCTTTTACTCTCCGGCCTTCTCGCGCGCTCTCATGCTTTAGTTCTGTTACTTTAAAAGCTTTCGTGTTGTTGTCATTGTTGTATATGTTATAATTACAAACTTCGAACACATTACCTCTTCTCGTCGGTTTTCGTTTTCTACTATTTTCCAAGCACCAGCAAATTTGTGTATTCTCTTTTCTAAAACTATTTTCTCTCGTTATTAGCTTGCCTTCTACGCACATTTATTACTTTGCTTTGAACAAATATTCATATACATACACAAGTAATTATTCTCTATTACATTGCATTACATTCATTTTAGTATTATTTGTTTTTGTAATTTTTTTTGTAGTTTTTACGTTCCTGTGTACTTCTCTTGCGCTTACTGCAGCTTCACGCTCTAAGTTCAATGCTGGCGCAAAACTATTTACGCTAAATACGGAGTAATTAATAAGTATTGCGGGTAATGGGTAAGTAATTAATGAGTAATTCATACAATAAATACACAAATATACCGTTATATAATTGGATTAAAAAGTAATATGTGTGCGCATAGGTATTGTACTGAAAAGTATTAGTAAAAGGTAATTATGATTACCATTACAAGTACCATTACTTCAAGTAATGCAAGTAATAAGTTGCTAAACAAAGCGTTACGAACTAACTACACAATGCCTATAATAGAATATGCTGGATTGCAAAGTAATGCTAGTAATCATATGTAATGCTTATAATCATACGTCGTATATAAGTAATCTTATCTTATTAGAAAAAATTGTTTACTTTTCAAATAATTAATGCATACAGTTACAGGGATTACGCAAATAATTACAATAGAGTACTTAAAATATATATTATCTAATTATGTAATGCAATTGGAGTAATTATAAATATTTTCAATTATTTAATACACATTTAAGTAATCTAAATACAGATACTGCTTCATTAATGCAGTTTAATACTTCTTAAGTAATTACAGGGCATAAATAATTATTTTATGGAGTAATTAGTTGTATAATTATATGTAATTAGCGGTAATTAAAGTCAGTTACTGCAATAATTTTTTAAGTTTTATTATTCATGCATATTTTGCATAGAGAAATAAGTTTTAACACACAAAATTACTTTTAATGCAATATAAATATGGTAATTGAAGAGTAATTTCAAAGTAATTTAATATTATCGGCTACGGTTTGCAGTATTGCCTTAGATTATATGGTAAGTATGTGGGCCACAACTGTGTGGCACAATGTAATTGCGTTAATTAGTTTGTAATTAAAAAGTAATGTCATTTATATATTCAATTAAAATGTAATCGCCTGCATTCGCTAGCAGTTTTTGGTTCGCAACTATTAGTTAAAGTTTGTCTCTTTCCTCTTGCTTGCACCGTTGCATAGTTTTACTTTCTCTTCTTCTCTTTATTGTTGTAGCGCTGTCCAGCTACACTTGGTCCTTGCCACGTAGGCGCAACTTTCCCTTCTCTCTATCGGCAGCACACAAAATCCTCTCCTATCGCAGCACACAAAATCCTCTCTTATAGCAGTACACAAAATCCTCTCTTATAGCAGTACACAAAATCCTCTCACTTTGCAGCCACTACTCTGCTCTCCACACTCAACAGCCAGTTAAGAGAGCGTTGCTAATTAATTCAGTAATGAAATTTTTTCTAAGCACCTTTCGTAGTTCTCCGTTCTTTCCTTACTGTTTTTTGTTTTTTGGCTACGATTTTTTTGGTAACATAAATACAATACAAGTACAAATACCGTTTTATAAATACATTAAACATGTAAATATGTATTCTTCAATATATATATATATGTATATATTTTTTTTTTATATGTGACATGTAAGTAATTATAATAATAATGATGCTTTTATATATATTTCACTGCATAGTGTTGCCACCTGTCTGTGGGCCGACGCATTCGACTATGCATTTTTCTTTTTGTTTGCTATTCTACGCACATTTTGTTTATTAAACTGATTTATTTTATATATCTATATGTGTGTTTGTTTGCTTATCATTCTTTGAACATTTAAGAGAAACGTGAAACTATTTTTTTCTGTAAATATGTAAGTATGTGTGTTTGGTTTGTTGCGAGTAAATCATAGTTTTAAGTGTAGATTTCTTTTAATTAAATTCTATGCGTTTTGCTTGCAATACAATAATGCTATACCGTTATTTTATCAATAGCTGATTTGCACGCACTTTTTAAAGAATTTTCGCATAGAATTATTCATATTTTAATGAATTTTTTTGAGTTTTCATAGGTTTTAATTTTTTTGAATTGTTTTAGTTTTTTCTTTTTGCGCAAAATTGCTGGTTTCATAAATGTGCACGCCACCGTACGACGGTCACGCACTCAATTTACGGCGCTGCCAATTTTGCGCTTCTTTTTTTTTGGGTTTTTCTCATTTTTTCTCTTTTGTTTGATCTCTCTTACACGCCTAAGGTATAAATGTTTCGCTCGCCTCCTAAAAATATGCATGTATAATCTCTCTTTGTTGACTTATAGGTATATGTAAATTTCTCTCTTAAATTTGCGTTGATGTTATGTAGATGTGAACATACATAGTTTTTTTATTATTTTTGTTTTTCTTTTCTTGCATCATATGTTGCATATATATGTATATACTTATGCTTAAAAATTTACTATAATTTATATATATTTATATATATGTATACGAAAAATTAATGTTGTTGGTATTTAATGGAAAATTGTTATTTATGGTTACATTATTAAATATATATAATATGTTTTTTTTTTTGTTTTTTTTTTTTTTTTTTTTTTTTGAAGTTCAAAAAGTAGATTTCTGTTGGCTGTACACCAAACTAACGGTATAATTATTCTGGGTATATTTTTTTAATGCCATTTGATCGCATCACTACCACATTTACTGTTATATAATTAATGTTTAATATTTATTTTTATTTTTGCCTATAACGGAGCTGTTTTCTACTCACATTTCGCGCTAATGCTAAACACTTACTTTGCTAATATCTTAAAAAGTTTTGGAAGCTGTTTTCATTATCTGTGATTTAATTATTTGAGAAGTTTCACGTTATTTTCACACATACACTTAAACATTTCAAAGGATTTCGAATTTGCCTTTTTTCGTTCACTACTTTTTTCGCTTACGTGTTGTGTTGCGCTATCTCTTTTACATGTTCACGCTTTTTTTTTTTTAACTAGATAAATTCTGAAATTTTGCTACGCATTTGTGGGTTGCTATGTACTGTTTTGTAAGATAGTAGTAAGAGTTGTAGTTTTAGTAGTAGGATTAGTAGTAATAATAGTAATTCTTTTAATACAATTAATAATTTTTTCGTTCCCTTACTCGTAC